TATATCCTGAATCAGATGTTTAAGAATTCAAAGGCTCTCCAGTGGAACCATAGCTCCCTGGAGGGTACTAAGCAGAGATTCCTACCTCTCATCACAGTACATCGAACTTGGATACCAGTTCCAGCCAAGAAATCATATTTATTCGTAGTAAAATATAAAAATTTAATTCTTCGAACATCTAATAAATACAATACCATACAATACAGGCCATGTCCTTGCTCCCAACTACTTCCATCTCTCCCACATGACGATGTGATGCTCGACTCCCTACTCATAAGCGAAAAGTGCAAAAGAGGATGCCCGTGAATTGCCAAAACAACATAAATTGCGTGTACATGATGGGTGTTTTTTTTTAGTTTTGCTGGGGCTCTTAGCCCGTAGTTTCCTTGGTGTATATACAAAATATATTGAGTATTGAAATATTGAGAAAAAGAGAGAGAGAGAGCTTTCACAGTAAAGTCCATGTCTGGGTGTGTGTGTTTTTTTTATTAAATATGCAGCGAAGCAACATTTATTTAACTTTTACTTTGAGTTAAATGTAATTGAAATGAGCGACGACGATGGCGATGGCGCGACGTCAAGCAATTTTATTTCATTGTACCTCCTCCTCCGCCTGTGCCACGTCCAGTGCCGTGCCTCTTTCCAGTGCCACTGCCTGGCAGCGTAATTTCTTTTCAATTAACAATAACGAAACGAAGCGAAATTGGTAAAAGCAAGAGTAGTAGCTCCGCAGAAAGCTGTTGCCGAAGGGGAGAACGCGGGTGCAGCTCTACAAAATGGTTCAAGTCTTTAATTGAAATGAAAAAAATAATACTACTCGCACAGCACACATACAAATTGTGTTTAATTTCTGCCACAAAAGAGAGGCTGCTGCTGCCATCCGCACCTTTCTTTCAGTTAAGCCCTCGGAACTGGGACAATTTGCAAAAAGCTTAACTTTATTTTCAGTATGTTTTTGTACAAGTTGGTCAACAGTTTTCGTTCTGTTTCTGTTTCGGTTCTGGCTCTGGCTCTACCTCTACCTCAACTGATGCTCTTTCTGGGGCTGTTATCGCACGTCATCAGACTTTTGCTGTCTTTTCATTTCATTTCTTTTCATTGCTCCGCACAATTTCCGCAGCGACATTTTACAATTGTCCATGACTGTCATACAGAAAAATACACTGGGCGAAATAAATGCTACTAGAAATTAATTTTGGAATAGAATCAAGGAGGATTTTTCAAGACAGCTTTAAGCTTTAAGATTATCTTGTTATAACCTCAAGATTATATGTAAATATGTATATAATATAATATAAAATATAATAATAAATGAATATTTCATTTAAATTAAATGAAATGCAAATAATTTCTAAAGGTACAGACACAATTTTGAAAGTCATATGCATTTATTTTATATAATTAAGATTTTATTTAATTACTTAAATAGTAGTTTTAATACATAATCAGAAAGTTGTATTATAACGAATAGCGGAATGGAGTAGGGGGAACTACACCTTATCGTAGAATCATTAAATACTATATATTCCAAGATTTACAGCAATATATGTATGTGGTATTCTTTTCTAACCATTTCCTTCTAGATGTCCAAGAATATATGTAATCCATATACGAGTATTTGAATGAATATTTTTGTTCAGTGTATTCCAGAGTGTATGGCTATGTGTGTGTGATTTCCAGTTGCTGATCTCTGTCCAATGCCCCCGACCGACCATATAGCACGGAAACATTTTTCAGCTGCCTTTTCTCTCTGTTGACACAAATCATTCGCTGGAAGTGTCGCTCCCGTTTCCACTTCTCCTCCATATCCCTCTCTGACGTATCTCTCCACCCCTCTCTCTCTCTCTCTCTGACGTTTTCCCCTGACGGCCTGCATTTCTTGTCTACTTTTGTGTTTGGATTTGTTGTCCAAATGTGTGGAGGCCCTGCCTGTCCGTATCGGTTACACTCAAAATGGATGTAAAAACGCTCTAGACGATGGCAAAAATGTTTGTACAGTTAAGAGTGCTCGAAAAAAAAAACTGTTCGATTCTTGTAGGGAACGGACGGATGGAACATGGGTAGTGGTAGAGGGACAGCCTTTGAGGGTCTTTTAAAATTTATTTCTGTTTGCCAAGCAGTTAAAGAATTTAATCTATGTACATTTTCAAGTAAAAGAAGAAGGAGGCAAATGGAAGGGCAAGGAACACAGATATAGTAGGGCGAGAGTCTCGTTATCACTGGTTTAAGATTTCTAAAGAATACAAAGAGATTTTTACTTTCTAAGCTCTCTTTTAGAAGATATATCAAAGCCTTTATAAAGCTGTCTATTCAAAATAGATGCTCAAAAAGTCCCATTTTCAGCCTTAATTCAGGAAAGGTTTGAATATTTATATACTTTACATCTAAATCGATAGAAACGATAGATTGTGATCGAGATATCACAGATATCGAAATAATCATACGTACATGGATCTATTTACAATTATTATTTATATTAAAAACGAAGTATGGATATATCTCTAACTTTGTCGCATCTCAGAAACAGAAAAAAACTCCTGAATCCTATCTGAGCCTGCTCTTCTGGCTTGCTCACAATCGAAATCCCTTTCCTTTAAAGTCCAATATTTACCAAGTATCCTGTTTGGCACTCCATTCATCTACATTACAAGTTCTTGCCAACTGGAAATCAACATTCCGTTTCCAAACATACCTAACCTAGAAAACAGCAAGAAGCAAACGAACGAGAGAACAACTTTATGAACATTTTTGCACTTGTCTATTTGGACCACTACTCCGCTCCATCCATTCCATTCCATGCCAAACAAAGAAAATAATATGTAATTCAAAACATTGTTCAAGTGTTCCAGTTTTTCCAGAGAGTGTACGAGTGTGTGTGTGTTTATAGAACTTTTGCACCACACATGAGAATGGAAGGAAGGCTATCTAGATATCTATTTCCTGGGACCGAAGCTCAAGATACCCTGGAAGATCCATCACTCTAGTGAAAGATAAGTGATAAATGTATGTGGGATTAAGATTTCCATGGAAGACGGCTACGATTTTTGGATCTCTGATCTTGTTGGATCTTTAATGAAAGACCATAATAGTACCCTGTGAAAGGGTATACCAAAGTACAGTAGAAGACCATCTCATAGATGGTGGAACTTGTCCAGTTGCCGTTGTTTTTGTCAATCCGTTACTCGAGTGGATCCCCGTCGCCTATCCATCCTCCGAGTATCATCATCAACATCATGGGGCATGATGATGAGCCCGGCCCGCTCTTTGGCTGCTGCTCCTTTTCCATTTCCATCTTGGGCCATCGCCTCGACTCGACTCGACTCGCCTAATGGATGTCTCTTTGTTTGGCTCTGCATCTCTGTCGTATCTCGTTTATTGATGCTGCATCTCTCGACGACTGCCACTCCACATCATGGCTCCACTTTCCGCTGTCCACTCCAGTGGATTCCCGTCTACTCTCTTCGGCTCTGCACTCCACTCTACCTACCGGATGAAATTGCGCAAGCAAACAAACACATCCATTTTGCAGAGTCCCCCAAGCCACCCCGTTGTTTGTTTGGATTCATCCGACTATTCCCACTATCGGCCATTGGCAGTCTCTGCTCTCCAACACAAACACAAACCATATATAGGAGCGTATATATACATATATATCTATCATCATCCCGGCAATCCTTCGCCTGGTACTCCGTTGTGGAATAAATTAAAAAAATCGGCTTTGCCAGCCGTTTGCCGATTACTGGACCATGTCGAGCCAAAAATCCAAAGGCTGTCAATGCTGTCCAATATCTAAACATTATGCAAATGCTCTTTGATATTATTGAAGAGTTTAGACAGAGTAAACACTGATCCATTTTGTGGTGAATGGATGAATGGACAGAATGGATTTGGGGTGTAGAAACGAGGAGAACACTTTTAACATCTGTAATACTATGGTTTTTTATTTTGTTAGAAAAATTCTAGCTTACATGAGATTAGCATAAACACATTATTTTCGAATTTGTGAATATTCCAACAACAGCAACAGCAAAAATTCCTTATCAGGGAAGCTCGAGTCTAGCTCTAGAGGTATTGGATATTGCACAAATGGGAAGAAGTCTAAAGAAAAACTCAACGGCTTATTACCTTTTATTGATATAATTAGTTTCTTAGATCAAGTAAAACCAATTGAATGGTGGCAATGTATTAAGAAATAGTTCTTAGTGCTGATATTTCAAAGCGAAACTGTTTTCGATATGGTCTTTACAGAATTCAGCAATCAATTGCTAGATCTATGAGCGCTTTTAGGTCAGATCCCATCTAATGATGTTCTTTAAACTCGTACAGATGTACTCGTACGGTATAAGCCCCCTGCACTGCAATAAACCGCACTAATATTCCAACAAATATTTGCATCTGTGCCGCATCTCTCCGAACAATCCAAAAAATTTGATCTAGTTTTTGAGAAACTGGTGCCGCATACCATGACCATTCCCGTGTTTACATCTCATCTCTCCCCAAAAAAGGGAACAAAAATACATGCATAAAAAAGAAAAGCAAAAAAAAGGAGCAAAGAAGAAAAAAGCAAATGATAAAATTGTGTCATAACATTACCAGTAAAAACGAGTTGGCGTAAAACCTGAACCTATCCCAAAACCAAACGAAAAATTCCCCGATGATTATGATGATCATAATGATGATAGTATGGCCGGGTGTCTGCTCCGATTGGGGTTCGGAGACCTGTTTTCAAGACCACTGCAGTGCAGTCCCCGCAGCAGAAAAGGCAATGCCTCTCAATCCAGTCCTGTACGAGTATGTTGACTTATGGGCCACAGAGCCAGAGCCTGTTTGCCAAAAGTGGGTCGACTTGGTCTTGCTCTTGGTCGTCTTGGTCGTTGGTCTTGCTCTTGGTTATGTGGGGAGTGTGGAGTGTGTATGTGTGGAATGTGATTTGTAGCCTGTACAATGTGTGAAAATGGCCTGACAACGACTTGACTTTATCCCCTCTCTGTCTCTTGCAGCGAATGTGTTTCAATGATGTTACTGCCTTCGGGGCGTTCGAATAGTGATGTCTATCCGCTACAAAGTGCCAACAACAGCAGCACAACAGCCTCAGCCCCAGCCGGAGCAAAGCCCTTGCTACTGACACGAACATCATCGCCACAATTGACAACGTTGCCCACAACAAATGGCACCAACGCCCCCCACACAACGCCCAATCGCCCACTGAATGGTGTAGGAGGAGCAGCAGCAGCAGGAGCAGCAGGAGCCGCCGCCGGATGCCCGTCACAGTCGCAGTCACAGTCACAGACCGGAATACAGCCGATAACAGCAGGAGGAGCAGTAGCAACAGGAGGAGCAACGGAGGCGACAACAACGGAGCCTGTCAGCAGTGGAATTGGGGTCGGCGTTGGCCCTGCCACTGCCGCTGGCACGGGCATCTATGGGCCACTTTTGGGTCAAAGCCATGGACATGGAAGTAACGCTGCTGGCGTTGCCGGAAATTGGTCCGAAATTGATGGACACTTGGAGACAATACAGGAGAAGCTAAAGCCTGGTTGGACCGTGCATTCGGGAAAGGAGGGACGACTCTATTATTGCAAGTGAGTGAAATGCCAAAGTATCATTAATCATACCATCCCCACGATTTGCTCTCCTCTTTGGATTATAAACTGGAAAATATAGGAGATCTGAAACGTTATTTACTTGGGGGAGGGATCTAACTGAGGTTAAGAAAATTATTATCAAATGTTAAGGTATGTTTTCTATTGGAAACAATTCCATATTGAGGTTTCAATAGTAATTTATCGTAAATGATATAGAATTCGTGCGAAATTTGTATTATATTTGAGGAGGAGTTACACTTTTGATAGGAATTATCATTTGATGTTTCTAACATTTGGTAACTCTTGTACCTTTTTCCTGTTTTTTGAAGAATAATAATAAATCGCTAAAAAAACACAATTTCAAACTACTTATAAAAGGATGTTACGATGCTTTCATATGTATTTGGAATTCTGTGTTGCATTTTTAATCTAAATTAAAGTTCTATTTCAAGTCATTTACAACTTGAAGAATCACAATAGGATTTTACTGGAAAATCCTTGAAAGTTGTTCCTTTTTTAAGTTCTGGAAGGCCTATTAAATATTTAATTTTTCAGCAAAAGTTTTCATTCAAGTGACGTTTTAAAATATTTAAGTACAGCCCTCCTTTGGGGAATTCTATTTCCTCTAGTTAAGAGAATATTTGGAATGGGAATATTCCTCCTTTGGTAACTTTTCGGATCCTGCTTTTAATATAAAAGAACTCTTTAAGCTTTTAGCTAGCAAAAGTATCCTACAAAGGAATATTAAACAGTGTAAAAAGCCTGACATTTATGCAAACATTAGCGTGGCCAAAGTTTCAACATTTTAATGCCTGTCCCACTGACGGAGTGACTGGCGGAAATACGATGTCCTGGCCTGGTTAGATGGATGCGAATGTGAATGTGAATGTGAGTGCTGTGAATGTGGGTGGGTGGATGGGTGGCTGACTGAATGGCTGGGTCTTGGTCTCGGGGCTGTGCTGCACATAAATTGATTATGCGCAAAATTCTATTAAATAATTTTACACTTTGTTGCACATCAAACTGAAAGCGCACAAAATGCCATTGCCGAGGCGACTCGCTGTGGCATGGATGGGGATGGGACTTGGACTGGGGGCGATAGAGACTGACTGAGTGAACAGCTCTGGTTGGGTCCCCGGGTACAAACACGGACATGGACATGGACCCGAGACCCCCTTTCACCCTCTCGCTCTCGCTCTCTCTCTATGTATCTCTGCTTCTCGGAAAGTGTGCAAAAGTGCAAAACTAATTATCACAATTGTGTGCAGCCAGGAAATGAAGAAAGACAGCAACGGAAGCCACCAAGGTGGCCTGATGTGGGCTGGAATTGGATTTGGTTCTGGGCCTGGGTCTGGGGCTTTGAGTTGGGTTTGGCTTGCTATGGGTTTGGCTTTGCTTTGCTTTGGGGCTGGGACTGGCACTGGGGCTGAGGCTGAGGCTTGTGGCACGATTATGGGTGGCTGCTGTTTATTGCATAGTCAAGCAAATAACCCAATTAGCGTTGATTAATGTCAATTGAAATGCATTTTGCAGGGCCCAGCCACAGGGAAAAACTATACCCTTGTTTGTGTCTGTAGGGTTAGCTAATCCACAAACAAGTCTATCAAGAAGTTCAGGGTCAATTGTGGGTGTGCAGGCTTTTGGGTAACTCTAGTGGGATTTATTTTTTAGAGAAAAATGAATACAAATACCTTATATGGATCCAGTTTGCAATTTACGAGATCTCTAATAGGAATATGTATGTATATAGTTCACCCTTGTATAAGACCGGGGTATAAATAAACACAATATATACATATATTATGCGCCAACTAACCATAAAATTATAAAACTTTTCTCAGCCCGCTTTTTATTCCGTGAGTGAAATTATCTATTTAAATATTGTATAATTTCAAATATTTTTCCAAAATTAATTCGCAATCATTAGCTGTCATTTAATACCTGTGATTCGATCATGTTAATTGTTTTAATAGTACGAGTATGTATATTATAGATAACCACACATACGCCTACCTCTCCCGACTCAGTTCCGATTCCAAATTGTTTGTGTTTCGGGGAAAAGTCCTTAAATAATAAATTAAATTTAATTGTAATGATATTCTGTTCTGTTTTCCAGCCACTTGGCACAAACATCAGGATGGCTGCCCGCCTGCGAGGATTGGAGCAAGCATGAGGAGCTCTCCTATGGCTGGGAGCGTGCCATAGATTCCAAGGGTCGTTCCTACTACATCAAGTGAGTGTCTATCTGCCATATACTATGCCTAAGGAGAACACTCCCTTAATTATATTCTTTATAGCCATCTGAACAAAACGACCACATACGAGGCACCCGAATGCATACGCTGGGACGAGCATCCGCCGGAGCCGCGTCTCGTCCACCTGCAGCGGAATGCCAGCCTGGGATTCGGTTTTGTGGCCGGCAGCGAGCGTCCGGTGATTGTGAGATTCGTGACAGAAGGCGGTCCCAGCATCGGGAAGCTGCAGCCAGGCGATCAGATACTCGCCGTGAACGGGGAGGATGTCAAGGACGCGCCCCGGGACCATGTCATACAGCTGGTGCGTGCCTGCGAGTCGCAGGTCAGTCTTCTGGTCTGCCAGCCCATGGCGCACTGCATCCTGCCGGGCCGCAAGTCCACACTCCTGTCGGCGGGCAAGCGGGCCAAGCTGCGATCGCGTCCGAGTCGCGTGAGATTCGCCGAGAGTGTGTGCGTCAATGGGGCACCTCTATTTCCGGTAAGCAGATGGACATCCCTCGAGCTGTGAATCAATCTTTAACTTGTTTTTATTTGTATTAGCCCTCGGCGTTCTCCCTGGGCGATATATGCGTGCCACCGATGGCCAATGTGCTGAAGGTGTTCCTGGAGAACGGGCAGACCAAGTCCTTCAAATACGATGCCACCACCACGGTCCACGATGTGGTTAGCTCTCTGCTGGACAAGCTCTGTCTCTGCTGCGGAGAGCTCTTCAGCCTGGTCCTAGAACATGTGAAGAGCCTCAAGAGAAATAAGCTCACGCTGCTGGATCCCCAAGAGTCCTTGGCCAGGGTAGGATTCAACTTTCCAGCAATGGGGAATCTCAGATTAAAGATTTGCGTTTCCTTTTAGATTGCTGCTCGTCCGGGAGCCCACAAGCTGCGCTGCCTATTCCGCATCACCTTCGTGCCCATCTCGGCCGCCGAGCTGGCACAGAGGGATCTGCATGCCCTGGACTACCTCTACATGCAGTGCTGCAACGATGTCAACCAGGAACGCTTCGCCCCCGAGCTGCAGCCGGAACTGGCCCTCCGCCTGGCCGCCCTCCACATGCACCAGCACGCCCTGGCCAACAATTTCTCACCCGCGAAGCTCACCGTCAAGCTAGTTGAGTGAGTGCAGCCCCCAGTTTCCCCCCCAGGGATATGGTGATCTGGATAATTAATCTCTGACTTCTCTGATCCTTCAGACGCGAGTTTGGACTGGAGCGATTTGTCCCAGTCAGCCTGTTCGAGGGCATGAAGCGGAAGGAGCTGCGCCGCCTGATCTCCCACTTCTTGAAGCTCAATGCGGAGATGACGGGATCATCGAGCAAGGTCCTAACACAGCTGCAGGTGAGAAAAAGAAAGAAAAAAAAAACCAAAATATCTAATCTTAAATTATTGATTAAACGAAACAACTAGAAATGGGTTAATGGGTTAATAGAATACTCTACAGAAGACACTTTCCAAATCAAATCTACCAAATCGACTAAACAAAGGATTAAAGAAAGAACCAGAAGTGCTATTTACGAATAACTTAACTAAATACTTAACTAAAAAAGAAACTATCAATGCACTTATAAGCAGTGGAGATGGTGTTAGGAATGATACGACTTCCTACTTAATTCAGGATAGATAGAGATGACAGAAATTATAAATTTTAGGACGCCAGAAAGGTCTCATATGAATGGTTTTTTCCCAAAGAAATGGATTCCAATATATGAAAGATATCTAAAGATGATTCTTTTTACTTGGTTGGCCGTTATTCTTGTCCTTCCTATTCTATTGCTATTGAGAGACCTTCTCAGAGAGGATCGCAATAGAGAGGTGATGAGAGACCAAGTCGAAAGTGGTCCTTGGTATTTTTAAGTGTGAGTGAGATGGATAATATTTGGCTCAGAGAGAATACTTGGAAATGCTTGGAAGTCAGTATCTTTGCAGAAAGTCGACCTGTTGATATATATTTTTTTAAACCATTCTTTATATGGAAAATATGTGATTTTCGTTTGATATTTATTCCATAAAGATATTGATATTAAATAATTTATATAAATAATATTGATATTTCGGCCAAACAAAAACAAATATCACCTAAATATGGGCGATATTATATTAAATATCCCTAGAAGTCGGTGTTGAATAATCGAGTGAGAGAATGCCACACCATAATCCAAATATATAATATAAAAAATCAGTGAAACGAATCTCTAAATAATTATAAAAACCCGACGTACTCGTATAATTGCAGGCCAAACTCCATTATCTAGATATAATCGCTAGTTTACCAAGCTATGGAGCCAAATGCTTTAGCACAAACCAAAGAGAAGGCGTCGAGCGTGTCCTGTTGGTGAGTCCACGCTTCGGCCTCAGTCAGATATCGAGTGCCCGCAATTCGGTGGTGAGTTATCCTCAAAAACAAAAACCCGCAAAGCCCCTTTACTCACTTTTTTTTTGCTATGAATCAGCCCCAACCGATTTCGGCCATCGAGGACTTCACCCATGTGGTGGTGAATCGTGAGGACGATGTGACCTGCAGTGTGTCCATCTTTATGCTCGGCGATCGGGCCGTAAAGTTCATCATGGAGGATCGGGATGCGTGCGAGTTCAGTCTGGTGCTGGGCGGCTACTATCGCCTGCTGACGGGTGAGATTCCCTTTTGGATACCCCAAGGATTACTGATATATTTCGATCCATTTCTCTCTTAGGCAACATGTTGAATCTGCTGAGGGAAAGAGACCCCTCGGACGAGGATAATGCCCCTGGTTTCTTGTCGCAGCACACGGTGCTGCCCGCGGGCTGGAGCTATCTGCTGCCCTACCACACGCGGGCGCACAGCGTCAACTTCCTGATGACGCCGCCCTACCATCCCGTGACGCAGCTTCCCCCTCAATTGGGGGCTCCCTTACAGGCGCAGTCCCTGCCCTATGTAATGGACTTGGATCTGCACAGCGTGATGGCCACGGAGCTGCTGGAGGAGGCGGCCAAGGACTCGGGCCTGAGCGACAGCAGCGGCAGCAACTACTGCGAGGGCCGCATCCAGTCCTCCCATCAAATGGCCAGTGTGGAGGCCAAGAACGAACAGGTACTGCGTCGCGTCCAGGAGCTACAGCATCTCGTCCAGACCTCCGAGCAGTATCTGAGTGAGCAGGAGCAGGGACTCTCCGGCGGAGGCCAGACAATGGCCGTCCTCGAGTTTGATTCGGACTGCGACAGTCTCAACAGCAGTAAGGTCTCCTCCACGGAGGAGACCTCGAATGTTCTTAGTCTGGGCGTGTCTCTGCCCCCGGGCAATCCCCTCAAGCACAGCGACTCGCTGACGCTTCTGGCGGAAACCATCAGCCATGATCTGAGCGGCATCACGCAGGGCCTCAATGCCATACCGGAGACGGTGGCGCCCGTCTCCTCATCGGCCCCGGCCACCCCAGCCACGCCCAAGCGAAAGCCGAGCCTTTGCAGCACCTCCAGTCCGCGGCCCCAGCGAAAGATGAACGGATTCAGTCAGCTGCTCAGCGATCTCCAGGCCTTGGGCACGGACTTTTCGCAGAGCGAAAGCGACTCGGAGTCGGTGGCCTCGCCCGCCCAGTCGCCCACCGCCAGGCGACCCCAGATAATGGTGCTCCAGGCAGCAGGCGGATCCATTCCCGGATCCGGAGGATTGGGAGCAGCCAAACAGCCGCTCTCGCAGCGCAGCAGCTTCGGGCTGCATAGCCCGGATGGCAGCCATTTTGGGGCCGAAACAAAGGACTACAATCTGCGAGAGTATCTCCAGCAGCTGAAGGAGATCAGCAATGCCTCGTCGGCGGACACGGATGTGGCGGCGCGCCAGCTGTCGGAGATCTACGGCTTTGAGGTGCGCGAGGACACCTTCATCGAGACGGACCCGGATCTGATTGATTTGCGTGCCATACCCCCACCCCAGACCCCGGATGAGCTGGACTCCCTGTCTCTGATGAATGCTGCCCCACCCAAGGGCTTCGAGGGTCGGGCCGAGGAGCTGGACAGTTTCCTGCAGCAGATAATGGTGGCACCACCCACCCAGAAGGCAACACCCGCCAAAGAGCTCACCCCGGAAGAGATTATGTCCTTTATCATCCCACCGCCACCTAATCTAGAGCAGCAGCAACAGGTGCCACAGCAGCAAGGGCCACCTATGGAGACGGAATCCCTGTACAGCAACTCGGTGCAGGCCAAGCGGGAGTTCTTCCAGTCCGTGGCCAATGGGAGCCACAACAACAACAACAGCAGTAGCAACACCGGCAAGGAGCAGTCCCCGCATGTCATCGAGTATGCCACTGTGGAGCGGAAGAGCAAGTTTAGCTGCTGTCCCACCACCAAAAAGGAAGAGTCCTCTCCCGCTCCAGCAGCAGCAGCAGCCGCACCGCCCGAGGTGCAGCCACCGCCCAGGACACCCACCGCTGAGCAGATGTCGCCACCACCCGCTCGACCACCCAAAAGCGCCGAGCTTCTGCAACGGTACTCACCCAAAAAGCAGGTGAGGATTATGGCCACACACCAGCAACAGCAGCAACAGCAACAGCAGCAGCAGCAGAGGGACAGCAGTAGGGGACCGCCCCAGCTGCCACCTAGAGGCAGTCCCACCTTCGATGCACAGCAGGCGAGTCCCCATCCCCCAGCAGCAGCAACAGCAGCAACGGCTGCCATGATGATGTCGGTGAGTGGTCCGAAGAAACCCCCACTGCCGCCCATTGCCAGTCGCCCGCGTCCAACGAACGGCATGTCTCCAGCACACCCTACTCCTGCACCACCACCTGCCCACTATTCACCGCCCATACCGGCCACGACACGCCTACCCAATGCTCATTCCAATGGCCACCAGCAACAGCTGCAGCAACAGCAACAGCAGCAGGTTCCTCTCGTACCAAAGAAGCCCCAGCAGCTGCACGGCGAGAAGCTGTTCCTGAAGAACGGCCACCTGATCGATGGGGAGGCGCTGCTGGGCAAGACCGATGTGGCCATGGCCGGGCTGCTGATCCGACTTGACCAGGTGGCAGCCCAGTGCTCGGCAGCCCAGTCGGCGGGCGGAGGGACGAGCATCGACGAGGAGAAGTTCCAGCGGGCACGCAACGAGCTGACAGAGCAGACTCTGGCTCTGGTGACGGCCAGCAAATTCCTAGTGGCCTCCATGTCGGACATGACGCTGATTACGCTGCCCGAGCACCTGACCTCCTGCCTGACGGCCATACGGCGGATCACGGAGCTGGCACAGGACATGACCCGGCATACATCGGCTCCGCTGCAGACGCGAAATATCGTCCTGAAAGTTCACGATGTGGCTAGCAGTTTCCGGGAGCTGGTGGGTGTGCAGATCGGACCCATTGGGGCTGGACAGTTGGCCCTGCAGGCCGAGTGCTTGGCTAATGTCTTGGCCACTCTGTTGCGATCCTTGCGGGTGTTCTCCCCATAGCCCAACGGGAGTACAGGAGGCGGATCCAATCCCAACCCTGACATATCGCACGCTCGTCTATCTACGCAACTCTCTCTATGTAAATCCCTATATACAACCTACATCTAGGATGGCAGCTGCCTATATGGCCCCTATATAACCTTATAGACTCATACAGTATATATATTTATATACATATATATATATATATATATATATATATACATATACATATGCGATATATCATCTCTCGAAACTATTTTACAGGTAAAGAGCAACGTCAGAGAGTCGTTGGTCTGATGTCTTTAGGCTAAATCCTTACGTACTCGTAATATCAACATGGAACATGGAAGCTCAAACGATGGGATCGTCTCTGCGTGTGGTATGGTGGAATATGCTATATGCTATATACTATATGCTATAGAAAGATCTTGACAAAATCTGATTTGTAATTTTAGAAAAATATAATGGCAGCTAGAATTATGTGATGGGATCTATGCAGGCATTTCAAATTTTCAATCATTCAAGGATCTTAAAGAACTTTCCCTGAAGCGTTTACAGTATATTTTGTTATCTATTTTTGTGGGCAATCTCTGGGGCAATGTCTCTGTAATTAATTCGAATTTTGTACCTGTTTTCAGTATTCCGAGCATGATTTTCTATTCTATTTTCTTTACTATTCCTTTCGCATTTGAATTTACGATTGTAGGCTTTTTCTCGAATTTGTTTCTACCTGAACTCTTCTTTAATCGTTTATATATCACTTGCTCAAAGCTGATTAAATATTTTTAGGAAAAAGCCTGTCTATCTCAATCTCCACTTATTCCATAATTGTCATATCTATCTACAGTCCTACAGCTTATTCCATCATATCTGAGCGATCCACATAATAAAATATCTCGAAAAAAACAAAAACATAAACGATATCTATTCTAAATCATAAAAAAATCACTTTCTCCACTTAAAGCATGCAACTAACTCGAATTTCTATGTGTATTCTCCAAAAAATCAAACTATTTTTATCTATACAAATTATATATACTTATATACAAATATCACTCTCTCGAATTGTTAGTAGAGCTCCTTGAACCCAGTCCCAGACCAGTCCCAAATACTACTTGAATTTGGAGGAACACCATGACTTGATTATCTAGACCAATTTATACTATGATGACAGACATACATATGTATGTAACTATATGTTTATTAAATTATGCTATCAGTATATTTTCTAATGTACATAATTTACACACACACAAACACACACATACACATGCATACATACCACATATATACCTAATACATAATACAATACAAATAAATATACCTTATAAATATTATAAAATATACAAATTGACCAAACAATAATCAAAATTTTAACTTGTGATATAAACAAAAAAATAAATAAAAAAATAAAATCCATAAAAAAAATAATAAATAAATAAATAAAAAGTAATTTTCCTTTGTTTAACAATGAAAGTCGTAACAGGTTATTTTTTTTTGTATAGTTTGTTCTTTGTTATTAATAAACGATCGATCGACTATATCTTTTTTGTTATTGTTAATGTGTCATAATTTTTGTTGTAGATGTTTTTGTTGTTGTTGGAGTACAAGAACGCGCACTAAGTTGTAGCTTTAACTAATTATATTTACAATAATTATTAATAAATAAAATAATCAATAAAAACAAAACTATCAAAAAACGTAAGCAAAATCTACTCAATAAAAAAATGTTTTTATTTGTTTATAATTTTTGTTGGAAAAAGAAACACACACAACAACACACACATATATTATGCGTATCATAACCATATGGGATATTACTAAATAAATATACAAATATGACTTAAAATTAATATAATATTAATATTATAATATTAAGTAAACCATATTCAAATGTACAATGTAAAACAATGTAACTGTTTATGACTTAATCGAAAAAAAACAAATGAACAAGAAAAACAAAAATGCATATGAAATTGTATGAAATAAATTCAATAAATAAACCAAAGGCAAAAGATTCGATCGACAAGTTTTCATTTGAATTTAAATTCGAGCTTGATAAACGGTACGAAATACGGTCTCATATCAATGAGGTTTTTTCCCGCCACAGCCGCAAATGCTGTCGCTAGCTGTCTGCTGTGACACCGATATTTATAACTGGAATTCGTCAGTATATTTACGGTATATTTTTGAAATAAGACCGTATATTTCGCCGCAGAACTCTATTGCAGCATGAGTCCCATTCCATATGCAAATGTTGCTAATTCCATGCACAAATGTTGCGGCAACATTTACTTGAAAACCGTTTTTTGGTCAAAATAAATTACGTAAAGGTAATTAAAAGAAGCAATCTGGTAGAAAATGCATTTATCTATGGGATAAAGCTAAGTGGGCATCTATAGCTTGAAATATAGGCAATACCGGATTCGCCGCAGTTTCGCTATTGCAACAATGAGTCTCATTCCATACACAAACATGTTGCTAATTCCATGCACACATACCCTGGGGGAAATGGATGATATAGAATTGCGGAAATGTGTTTCATCCCATGCTCTAATTAATGCAGAAACTAGTCAGTATCTATTTTAAACGATATTTTGCAATTAGTGGTCTTCTTACAGAGACCAAGAACTGGTACTGGGATCAGGTTTTATATACAAATAACTAATCAAATGCATGAATAGACCAAAAAAATGCAATCTACGACAAGGTTTTTACCAATTACATTTGAAAGCAGGTTGGAAAACATTATCTTTATATAATATTCTCGAAATAGGGTATAAAAACGCCCATGCCCTGGTTGACATCAAATGAGTCTGCAAATACCAGCAACATTGCGACTGTTTCTTTTGTTGACCTATTTTGTTTAAACCTTGTTTTAGTCAAAATGCAATAAAAGCAAGTGTTTAAACTAAACCAGTCAGGTAGAAAATTGATTCATCAATCGTATAAAATTAGGTAGGCATGGCTAAATATTCTATATAGCTAGTAATATTCGAAGGAATATCAAAATTGAGGAATATGTACACTGCTGTCGATAGTGATATCGATAGTAGACGATAGTTGTTCGAAAAACATCGGCAGTGCAATCGATAGTACTCGACCAAACATCGCTGACATTTAATATTAATTTAATTTTCAATTTTATATAGAAATGCGATAAATGCAAGTACTTCGAATAGGCCAATCATGTACAGAATTGATTCATCAATCATACCAAATTGAGTGGGCATGGCTAAATGTTCCATATAGATAGTATTATTCAACGGAACAAAGAATATGAGGAATTGGTCGTTTTTTTTTAATTCGCCGTAGTTCGCCGTAGTTCGCCGCATTTCGCCCCAATTCGCTTTAGCAACAATGAGTCTCATTCCATACACAAATGTTGCGCATTCCATACACAAAAGTTGCGGCAACATTTACTTGAAAACCGTTTTTTGGTCAAAATAAAATACATAAAGGTAATTAAAAGAAGCAATCTTGTAGAAAATGCATTTATCTATGGGATAAAGCTAAAAGGGCAAATCTATATAGCTTGAAATATAGGAAATACCCGATTCGCCGCAGTTTCGCTATTGCAACAATGAGTCCCATTCCATGCACAAATGTTGCTAACTCCATGCACAAATGTTGCTAACTCCATGCACACATACCCTGGGGGAAATGGATGTTATAGAACTGCTGAAATGTGTGTCATCCCATGCTCTAATTAATGCAGAAACTAGTTAGTATCTATTTTAAACGATATTTTGCAATTAGTGGTCTTCTTACAGAGACCAAGAACTGGTACTGGGATCAGGATTTATATACAAGAACCTAATCGAATGCATGAATAAACCAAAAAAATGCAATCTAAAATAAGGCCTTTATTAATTACATTTGAAAGCAGCTTGGAAAACAGCATCTTTATATAATATTCACGAAATAGGGTATACAAACTCACATACCCTGGTTGACAACAAATGAGTCTGCAAATACCAGCAACATTGACGTCACAACCTGCGACATTGAACATTTTTGATGAAATCGTGTTTTTGTCAAAATAAAAAACATGCAAGTACTTAAAGATAGTTAATCTTGATTGAAATTGATTCAGCTATCATATAAAATTGTCTGGGCAAAACTGAGAGATCTATATAGCTGGGAATATTCGACGGAAGAAAGATTAACCAAGAATTAGTCGTCAAAACCGGTTCACAACAATGAGTCCCATTCCATGCACACATACCCTGGGGGAAATGGATGTTATAGAATTGTGAATATGTTTGTCTTCCAAGGCTCAGTAGGTATCAGGATCGACATAAATATATACAAGATACTAATAATACACATGAATAAGTCAAAAAGATATCAATTTGAGAAAAGGTCGTAATAAATTGCGTTTGATCTACATATAAAATTAACGAAATAGGGTATACAAAGGCCTATACACGCATCATGTCTTTAAATACCAACAACATTGCGACTGTTTTTTTTGTGGAACTACTTTGTTATTGCCTTGTTTTTGCCAAAATCCAATAAAAGCAAGTGTTTAAAATAAGCCAGTTAAGTAGAAAATTGATTCATCAATGGGCTAAAATTATGTGGGCATGGCTAAATGTTCTATATAGATAGTTATATTCAACGGAAGAAAGAAAACGAGGAATATGTAAATAGAACTTGAATTCGTCAGTATATTCACGGTATATTTTTGAAATAAGACCGTATATTTCGGTATATTTGTGAGGGTCGTACGGTATATTTTGTCTATAAATCCGCGGTCACACCGACCTCTAGTTCAAATCATTGTTGTTGTGTATTGTGTGTTAAATGCTCTGCCGCAGCAGAGTAGTAACCGAAATTCGATCCACAAAAATAAAAATCGAGAATTAAGTGGGCCCGGAAGTGCAACTACGAGAAGTAATACGAAAAGAAAGAAGGATTATTCATCTTCCTGCTTTTTGGCAGCGGGCCACGAGAAGAAGGAGAGAAAAGTGCGAAAGAAAAAAGAAATAAGAATTGTAATTGCAAGAAAATAAAAATACGGAAGCCAAGGAAACGTTGTCAGTTGTTGAATATACAAAATTCTATACATGTTTGCGTTTACGGATGAAAGTTCTTTTGTGCAAAATTACTCGAAATAAATACATACATCAACAGCATCCACAAGAATCTCTCTCTGTTCGTCTCTCTGCGAAGCAGCAGCGGCAGAAAAAGAGAAACAAGAATCTTTGCTGTGGATTTGTTGGTATTCCCCCCTGTTCCCCACCACCCACCATCACACCAGAGGATCGGAGAGATTTATGCTGAAGGCGATTCAACAAAATGGATTACAAATTCATTGTTTTTAATGCTGCCCGCGATAATAATCTGCCCCAATTGAAGGTGAGTTCATATGCGTTCATAGAAAAACGCCCCTCTCTCTCTCACGCTGTGTGCAGTGCTTGATAAGTGGGTGGAAATGCTGGGCTTCGAGGCAGCTCTACAGCTTCCAATTCTTGCAGCCAGCAGCAGTAATATTAACAACAAATTATTTTATTGTGTGGAAATCTCAGCTGGCAGAGTGTTAGCCTTGTGACTAATCAATAAAGTTCTCACCAAGTCACACATAATTCCTCTCCCACTCCCTCTCTCTCTCTCGCGCTGGCTGGCTGGTAAGCGTACACGCGCATGTTCTGCCCACAGTGATGTGATGGCTAGTCGAACATTAAAATCTAGCTGGAAAGAAGCTAAAATATGTAAATGGGTAACTTCTATGCAGATTTCTTACCAGTTCCAAACCCTGAACTGAGAGGCAATCGTATAGCTTCGGCAAAAAATGAGCTAGCTGGAATTAAAATCTGTTTATTATGGGAGCGTATGCAAACACACGTAATTTAACCCAGAATTTATTCCTGGTGTTCATTTAAAACATATTTGATACCATCTTTTTGGGGTTTATTGATGCCCAGTGGTCGCTCAGATAAAAGAACGGGTGTTCCATTCGCAATAATATAAATATGTAATATTCAGTTTTGTTGCTGAGGAACAACTCATCGTGAATTTGGTGATATGCTAATTTTTGAGCATGTGCACTGGACAGGTTTTTAATTTTAGCAGGTTTTCTTTTTGCAAATTTGCCTAATCTGGCAGTTCCACTAATATAAAAAGTAGTCATTTTACTTAACTTTTAAAATATATAAACCAGAAGCTGCCGGAAATATCGTTTTGTAGATCTAAAACCAGAATTAATATTTTAGTTTGATTTGTTTTTCCCTTTTTCCCCGCTAAACCTGCCAAATGCATTGCTCTAGCGCCAAACAATAACAAATAACATATACATATGTGTATTCATATGTTTGCCCGCCCGGCAACCGAGCAACGTGTTTGTGGGAGTACCGAAGCTTGAAAACTTTTGCTTGCGACTGCAATACTTTGGGCTGAGGCACGCTTTTTGCATAACAAAAGTTCTTAAGCTTTGGTCTGCGTCTGGGCCTGGGCCTGGGCCTGGGCCTGGATCTACCTTGGATGTGTGGCCCATGGCTGGAGAGCCGGATTGACATTGGCATACACCATACGCTGAGTGAAAAAGTGAAACAGAGGCAGAAAACCTGCTGCACTTGGCGCTGTTGCATTGAAGCAGCTACGTTTTAGCCCCCACTGTGTGGGGTGGGTGTTGTTGAATAATTGTGACTGCGACTGCGACTGTGAATGTGACTGTGCCTGCGCCGTGTGCATATTTATGATAAGTGTGGCCTGTGTGCCTGCCTGTGTATCTGCGATGATAAGTGTGGCTGGGGCAGCATTTGATTCTCTGAGCTTGTCTGACATTTCAAAAAATTATACGTGACATGGAAATCATGTAGTTCACTCGCTGGAAAACTTGCAAATGAGCTGTGCTGGAGCTATTCTGAGCTGCAAATGGAAATCGATAGAGAGAATATTGACCGTAATTTATTCTGTTCTCCATTATGCCCATGCACTTACGAGCACAGTGGTGTTTAGCATATTGTAAACACATCAGGCCCCTTTTAGAATCACTTAGTTTGTAGGGAATTATGTCCATTGAGTATTTTATTTTTTCTAAAAAAGTGTCAATTAAATACAAATGTCTTCCATTTGGATTCGGGGCCTCTCTGGAATATATTTTTAACATAGATTCCCCCTCAAGGGAGCCTCCACTGTATTCCCCATTCGTATATCAAAAGTCGAGCTTGCTTTGACAGTGGTGGGCCACAAGTTAGAACCACCACAGAGCGTGCTCTTCGCTCATTTGAAATTTATCAAGAAACGGTACCCTGGGGTTTTCTCTCTGTTTGTTTTGCATTTTCCCTCCCCGCTGGCTTTGAATCATTTCCTTTGGCTGCGCTTATCTTATCGGTGGAGACAATACTCGTATTCGCTTTGGGTTTTTATTTCTGCTGCTGTTGTGGCTGTTGTTGTTGTTGTTGTTGTTGCTGACTGCTCCAAATGCGTAGCAGGTATTTTTAGCAATTTTATTTCGCTGCTGTTGTTTTTGTATTTGGGCTGAACACGTTAATAACTGATGAACGGGCCAATTTTAAGAGCTGGAAATCACGTCGTCGGCGAGCCCGGGGCAGGTCTGATCACAATTCACTTCCGCGTCGCGTCTGTCATTTGCCCAGAGACGAGCTTTTCGATTCTCTCTCTTTGATTTTCCCTCAGCCGGTGCCATGCCCCTCAGCAACGCCCACCAGGCGAACGCACTTTGGTTATTATTATGATCGGCAGAGGAGGAGGAAGCATCAGCAGCAGCAGGAGCGTCAGAGAGAGAGAACAAAGAGCCGTTCGTTTCATTCGGGTTTTTGTCTTTACCTTTTGTGGTTCTTGTTCTTCGTTCTGACGCTGCCGTGTTGACAATTATCCTTGAAAGCGTTCGATCACACGAAAGTTGAGGGAAGGCTCGTCTCGGCCATCCCATCCACAGGCCCACCACAGTGGACACTCACTAGAGGTTGAGTTCAAAGAGATTATAGTTTTGAATATATGTTTATATGTATAAAGAACCCTTTCAAACATCGTAGATCTCTGTAAAACTATTCAAATCTGCCTGGAAAACACTAAAACAGCTTATCATTAAGGTGGGGATAACTTCCACAGCGATAACACAAGGCAGAACCGCTTATAGTCGCCCAAAGTCTCAAGATCTGGCTTGCCTGCAGCCGAATTTTTGGTGCGTTCGGGTCCCAAGACCTAAGACCTCTTTGAAAAAGTAAAAACAAAGCACATTAAGAAACGTGATTACAATTTGGAATTGTGTTCCCTTTTTGTTCACTCTTTCGATCGTGCACTGTATTCTCGTTTTTCTTTCAACTTCCTGACTGACGGGTCTGTCTCTCGACCCTGGAAATGTGTCATTTATGGGGTGTGAGTATTATTTAGAGGAAAGAGCGACGTACGGGGTATGGGAGTGTTGTCCCCCTCCAAAGGAATAAATAAATATAAATCGTGAGTGGATGGGATATTGAAGTTGCCCAAAAATAGCTTCAAGTATGGGGGGCTACTGCACTCAATGTTCCATATACATATGGTACGGGAGTGGAAGGGGCAGAGGGAGAGCCAAGCAACCTGCTTGGTTCGACGTGCAGCATGTTCTAGCCAGCCCCCAGCCCCCAGCCCCCACCTCATAGAACTGGTTTTTCTTGCTCTCAGTGTTGTTTATGTTTGTTCCAAAAATAAGAAACTTCCAGCCCCCAGACCCTCTCTCTCTCTCACTGCCACAAGAAACGCCTTTCGTAGCGAGAGAGCGAGAGGAGAGATCATCCACGATGTACTCGATGTTGGAGTGCCACTTTATGTTGAGTACACACAACAAAATATTTCTTGGTTCTTCCTCGTTGTTTTTTCCCCATTTTGTTTGGTTTTCTTAGCCGTACGTGATATGGCTCTAAGATCTAAGATCGAATGATTGATGAGGCTTCGCAGGGAGGGGGGACGAAAGGTATCTGAGAAGTAGTTCAACGAAGTTCAACAAAGATCTCTCTGGTTGGATATCTCCCATAAAAGATCGATGTTAGAGCAGATGGAAATTAATGTTGGGTATAGGAATACGATCTGTATCCATTAAGAGTATTTTTATTAATTTAAATTCAACCTTTTTGATCAAGATCAAGACTCTAAAGGTTCGCTTACGTGTACTCGAAACTGGTTATAATTGAATTTATTACGCTTAAGCTTAGGATCCAGCGATTAAAGTTCAATGATCTAGGTTGAATAATTTCCAGACTCCAACAGAAAACAATTTACATCTAAATCCACTAGAGATATAGGGAATTATATAATCATTAGCTAATTGAAAAAATTCTTGAGGAACATTGTAACACAATGTCTGTCCCTGGAATGGCATCTTCCCTTTCATTCTCACTAACGACCAATAAATCATTTACTTTTATATACCTTTTAGCTGGTTTTAAGTTATCTTTTTTATGTTAGTGGCCCTTAAGTTATGCATCAATCAATCATATAATATCTGGCTAGATAAGATATGGCATTTCTCTGGAAGCGACTAAATCTATGCAAAGAATTGGACATTTACTATCATCTTTGGGGGGCGCCTCAACAATTCCAGTTCATAATCATTTGTAAGCCTTGAAATGATTAGAAATTAACCGAAACTGATTAATTATTCTCTAGTAAGACTCATTAAATTTTGGTGTTGGTTTTTTAATTACATGCAAAAGTCCGAAAATCAAATCCATTTGAATTCATGAAAATCGTTTTCTCAAGACACAACACACTCCAATCAGGCGGCAAAGCGTTTTTCGAGCGTTTTCAAAACATTTGCCAAGGCATAACATTAAAGATAATTCGATGTACAATTTTTGTTTTCTGTCTTTCAGTCTCCTTTTTCTTCTTCTCTTGACTTTGCAAAGTTTCTCAAAGTTGTATGCAAAAAAAAGCCGCAAAACCGATTTTTTAGTTGGTCAACAGCTGTTTTTTTTTTTTAAATTTGTTTTCTGGGTTGAGGCTGTGATTCTTGTGCCTTGCAATTTGTTACTTGCTGTTGGGGTAACCTCAAAATGCGAATACGTTGTGTATGAGTGCACTCTTGCAGAGAGGGGTATTGTGATTTTTTATAGACATATGTAATCCAAAAAGGATCGCTTTGGGATCTTTGGGATATACATTCCGACTGCACTTTATTATTCTTTTGATAGAGTAGATCCACCGAAGTCTGTTTACTTGCCTATCAACCTCAATATCAAATCATCCTGTCTAAATTGATCTAAATTGAACTTGACAAATAGTAATTTAAGAATTAGCCGTAGGCACTATAAACATAGAATTTTTAAAAACAATCAATCAAATAGTCAATCGTATGTTCTCTAGAATATTCCTGCCTGAATTCGTAGTGTCTTGGCACAGGATTATCTTTTCAGTTTACT